GCTACGTCCATCTTTTATACAGTCTATGTGTGGAACACGTTGAAGCCACAAAATTAAAGTCAGTTTGTAATGTGACAACAAACAACGTGCGTCCTGCCTTTCAGGTCTCTCTCTTTAAACTGAGTGATGGGAAACATCATGGCGTCGGCGAGCTGGGTGGACAGAACAGCGTGACAGGAACTCAGCTGGAAGGCGAAAGAGAAGAGAAGTTAACCATGACCCAGCTCAGCGAGAACACAACACGGTGGACATGATGCTTTTACTGTTATTTATTGTGATTCATATTCTCTCTCACCTCATCAATGACTTTTGCAAACTGTTGCAGGGTCGAGCTCATCACCTCGTCATCGCCGCCCAGAGGAAAACGCTGCCAACAACAGCAACAGCATGGACGTGTTAGAGGAAACACACAGCATCAGAATGTGCAGAGTACGTCAGCATACAACACATTCAGCTAAATACTGACCTACAAGGATGTCTTGTTGTGGACCAACGTGTCAGACAGACGACAGTGGAACATATAACCAGAGGTGTTTGAAGGAACAGATGGGGCCAGTGGCTGGTGTTGGGTGATAAGAATGATGGATGATATCTGGTGCTTTAGTGGCTTTTGTTTTACGGCCGGTGGCTTTTGTCCGGTGCTCAAGTGTCAGAAAGCTGTGGCTACTATAATGTATTATTATACTATAAGGTCTGTGGCTGCCGTGATAAGCCTTTTACCCAACAGTAGTTACAACACTGGTAGCTAATGCTGGAAGGCTCGTGACAAGTATTGCACAGACAGTGGTTTGCTTTATATGGCTGTGGCTAGTGTTTGAAAACTGTGGCTTTTATTATTGCATAAAGCCTGTTGCTTCTGTGGTAGGTTTTCTGGTCACACTTGAAGCTAAGGCTGGTAGCTAATGCTATAACGCTGGTAGCTAATGCTCTCAGTCTGCTAGCTAATGTTGTAACACTTGTAGCTAATGCTATATCACTGACCATTAATGCTATAACGCTGGTGGCTAATGCTCTCAGTCTGCTAGCTAATGTTGCAACACTTGTAGCTAATGCTGTAAGGCTGGAGATTAATGCTACAATACTGATGGTGCTGGTAGCTAATGCTCTCAGTCTGCTAGCTAATGTTGTAACACTTGTAGCTAATGCTATATCACTGACCATTAATGCTATAACGCTGGTAGCTAATGCTCTCAGTCTGCTAGCTAATGTTGCAACACTTGTAGCTAATGCTGTAAGGCTGGAGATTAATGCTACAACACTGATGGCTAATGCTGTAGGTCTAGTATTACACAGCCAGGTGCTAGATTTATGAGGCTGTCGCTAGTGTTGGAACATCATGGCTTTTATTGTTCTATAAATCTTGTCCCTTCTGTGATTAGTCTGCTGGCAAGTGTTAGCTAGTGTCATCCTACCAGTGGCTAATGTCATAAGCTTTTGAGCTAATGACTTGAATCATACAACTGATGGTTGAAGTTCTAAGTGTGACAGCTAGTGTCACAGGGCTAATGGCTACTATTTTAGGGTTGGTGGCTAGTGTTAAATATCCAGTATTAGCCTGAATGTAACATCAGTTCTACTTTTTGAATGTAGTATACTCTAGTTATCGTGAGCTGTTCGAAGCCTTCGCTCAGCTGGGGAGCGTGTTAAAAGTTCAGTTCAATCAGCTTAACTTGTTTCTGAGGGCTCTTGTGACATGTTTTGCTGCCACAGAGGAACTAAAAATCTATGATGAGTAAAAATGAGTGCAAAGAGTCTCCTGATGCTGTCACTGCAGAAAACAGACTGTGGACTGAATCATCTGTCAAGCTGCCAAGAAAGACTGCTGCTCCAAAAAGACAGAAGGCGTGAAAATATCTGACAGGAGACAGTGTGAGTACTGAGAAAATACAGGAACAGGGGATTTACGTTAGACTGTCATGGTGCTGATGCATACTTTTATTTTACTGTATTAAATAAAAGCTGGGCCGTAGGGTGGATCGGTTGTTAGCACTGTCACCTCACAGATAGAAGATCCCTGGTTTGTGAGTTGTGTGGCTTTATTTTCCAGTCAAGATTGTTTCAGCAAACCACGAAAAAGAGAACACAACTACACTGTGCTGCCATTTTGCTTTGACATTGGTTTAAAACTGTTATTGACAGCTTCTCAGGCTCTTCATGGCCAGGCTCCAGATCATATTTCAGAGTTGCTCTTTCCTTGAAACATTGAAACAGCCAGGCTCACCCATAGACTGTATAAAAGATGGACGGAGCTACCGTGACGTCACCCGTTGGTTTCTGCACTGAGAAAATGAAGCCAGGGTTTTGCTACTTCCTGGTTGACATCTTGGATTTTTGGAGCCAGTGACGCAAAAATCATCAGAGGGGGGCGGAGCCATAGGAGCAGCGATTGGTCAGACGGATTGAGAGGCAGGCCCTCTCTGCCCGCCTTCTGCTCTCTTCATCTGTATGGTCGCTGCTGACTGTCAATCAAGCCAGCCACGCCTCTTGCCCCGCAAAATTTTGACGATTTTTTAAAAATTCAGTATTGATTTATTTTCAGATTGGTCACCTGATCTCTGGACTTGACTATGAAAACTAATAAGAAAAACTTTATGAGCTGTAGGAATGCGGTATTTTGTGATCTGTGATCACTTCTTTTCCAATTGAAGTCTATGGGAGCCAGGGCTTTGTGGAGCCAGCAGCTGGCGGACGTAGGTTTTGGACACTTCCGGGTTGGCTCCATTTTTCAGGGCCTGTTGCTACGTCCATCTTTTATACAGTCTATGGGCTCACCACGGTACTACTTTTCAATGACTCGTTAAAGCTATTTTTTTTTCTCCTATTTTTTTTATTGTATACGAGACATCTTGTCATGTATTTTAATCCCATATGAACTGATTTTATATCTGTTTTTATTATTTGAAAAGTGCTGTAAAAGTAAACATTATTTTCAGGCTAAAGTAAGGTGTAATGGCGTGACAGGTGGCGGCACAGGGCTGTGGACAAAGTGTCCTACCTGTTTGTCGTATTCTTTCAGCAGTCTGGAGGTCAGGTGAGTCGCAGCACTGAGCTCATTCTGAAAAACAAAACAGCAGCACTGAGCAGCTGGAGACACACAGTCTAATCAACAGCCACTTATTACTGTCACTGCAGAATAACAGTCTGCATGAATCTGCAGCTTCACTGGTGTTTGTGTGTCTGTACCTGTGCATCATAAATCCTCTGCATGGCCTGATACAGCTGTGTACAGTAGTTGGAGATGGCCGCAGTGTCCTCCTCAAACACTCCCAGCAGAGAGCGAGTCTACATACAAGAAAATAAAACAATTAAACAATGCTGAAAATTAAGTTAGTGTTAATCTGTTCCGTGAAATCATCAACAGAATCTACTAGCCCCAAATGATCCTGAGTGTAACTACCAAAAACTCCCCAACATTCATTTACACTGTAAAAGTATGAACATTTTCAACGGTTTTAACTGGAATTTACAGAACAATTCACTATTCATTTTACAATTTTCCCTGTTTTGCTACCCAATAAAAGGGCACAGTGTACACATCAGCCCCCCAAAAAACTATCTGAAACTGTAAAACAAAAAAAAAGTCCATATCAAAAATCTGTATTTTTACAAATGGTAATTAGTTCCTTTACAAAGTTTGGCCTTAAAATTGCACTTTTTAAAAAATTCTTTTGAAATACGGTAGCAAAATTCTTGCGTTGCAGATATTTGTTGTTATCTGTAAGAACAATTGGATTCAAAAATAGTAAATACATTTTGACAGATATTTTACACATTTTTATTGTTTTGTTAAATGAAATATAATATCTGGTAAAATCAAACAGAAAAGTATTAATTTATATGTTGACCAAAAAAACTATTAAAAAAACTTGTACCTCCAAACTGGTCATATTGTCTACATTAAAAAAAAATGTATTTTTAAAAACACATTTTTTCTTTTCACAGGTGTTACAGTAAAATTATACAGTTTTTCAGTATTTAAATATTTTACACATATTTGCTGTATATTTTCACAGTTTTTACACTTCTTTTTAACGTCACAATATTCTACCATTTTTTACGTTTTTCATCTAACGCCCTTCCTGCCAGATTTTCACAGTTTCTTTTATGGGAATTTTTATAGTGTATGTAAAGCCACACCCACATCTGCTGCCTTTCTCCACTTTACAATTCTGCTTAAAGGTGTGCCTTTATAGCAGGTTTTGGAAAAGGAACAAACTGGCATAAAAGAGAGCAATGAGGAATATAAAAATGTATTACAAGAAAAAGCTTTTGGCAATCGTGTAAGGTAATATATTTATTTGACCACTGAGTGCACTGTCAATACAGTTGCTTATTTTTCACATGACAGCTGCACAACACAGCTCTAAAACTTTAAATTTCAATTGTTTAAACACGATACCTCATGATAGAAGTGCACTTACGTCTGACACTGTCCCATAATGGAGGATACGTGGAAATCAGTTTAGTTTTTGGCCAAATCAAAGTGAAATTTGTGTTATTAATGAAATATTAGCTCTGATAAATACCAGTAGACTAATCAATTTTCTAATCTATGTTCTATTAGATGCAATAACAGCAGTGGAAAATGGACTCGGCAGCAAATCAGGAGCAAACATGAAAACATATTTATGCATTTCCTGCATAACCAATTGAATACATGCAGGTTTTAATGGGAATGCAGTGCAGACAGCTTGTCTACTGTAACTGCACAGTTCCCTTCAGTACAGCAACAGGTCTGCAGATATAACAGATTCCTCAGCTAAACATCTGTATCACACATCTGGCCAGTTGTGGCTCAGGTAGAGCAGGCAGTCCACTCATTGCAAGATGGACGGTTCAAAGCCTGGTCCAGCCGCATACTGAACTGTCCTCGGGCAAGACGTTGAACCTGAAGTTGCTCCCAACAGCAGGTGAGCACTGTGCATGGTGTAAGTGTGTGTAAAGGGGAACACTGAAGTGTTCTGAGTATAACTGAGGTCAAAAAGTGGTGTACAAGTACATTTGCCACTAACACATAATATAGTCAGAAAAACAATTGCTTCTAGCTGCGGGGATTTAATTACAAAACTCTTTCCTCCTATGAAATAGATTAGCTGTGCAGCATCATGGAGATCCAACATGTTAAAAGACAGCCACCTTCACAAAACTCTTTATTTTCAACGTGCCCCACTTACCCCTGAATCATGCTTTGTGGCTCTCACTGTTTTGTGGTAAATTACTGCACTCACGGCTCTGATGAAGTTGCGTGTTATTACAAGATATACCTGTTTAACTTGATCACCCAAATAACTGGATGGGAAAACCCAGAATTACTCATGTTTGGCTGGTATGAGATGGACTAAAAATGAAGCAAACAGTGCACAGATGAACTAAACTTAAACACCTAAACAACATTCACCCCCTGACTGGAACCTCAAACTTCCAGGTGCATCCCTCTCTGGCCACGCCCGAAATCACGAGGTCATAGCAGGTGCTGTGGTGCAGGAAACACCATCACTGAGCAGAGTGAGTGTCACTCATCTGAAGCAATGCAGAGGCAGCTTGCTGCCCTGACTGACATTTACATCTCACTATGACAGAAAGCAGCAGGATGACATCTGCCAAGACATGAACGGTCACCACGGGACGGAGGAGGAACAACTGGTCAAGTGGCTAAGGAAGTAGCCTGCCAACTAGTCATTTGGCGAGTTGATCTGAATGCTAACCACCACTGGGTGGTTTGATATTTTGCCAGGCGTCTTGGCGGAAACTTCCAACAGCTGATCGGTACAGCCGTCACCTTTGATACCGCAGCACAACTGGTGTAACCTGTCTTAGCTGTCCGCTTGACAGCTGTGCTTGGCTGGGCCCTCGGTGGTTAGCATGCTGCTAAAATCTGTACTCTCTCCTCTTGATCTTGGCAAAAGCTTCGCCTACAAAGACAGTTAGCCTAGCCGTGTATGTGGCTAACGTTAGCATGCTAGCTGTAGCCTCCAGGGAGGAGAGCTGTTACCTGCGGGCTGTCCTCCAGCGTCTCCTCTATTGGCAGCTTTTCTATTCCGGGCATAGCTGCGGCTGGCTCGTTGATCGGTGCAAATCGACGGACTGAACGCACAACAAATGGGTCCGACAACTCCCACTCAAGATTTCTTGGCTACACGAATTCACAACACCCCAAAACAGCTCCTCCCCGTTCCTCAAGTCCCGCCCTCTAGGTGTGTTTTGATTGGACAGACGACACTTTCATGAATTCGATTGGCTTCTTGTTTAAAGGGGAATATGCGCCATTTTGGCTCTGACCAGGATCGCCCTTTCACTGTACCCGTGTACAACTCAGAGCCATAATGGCGCTTGGTCTGCTAACTTTACATCTGAGCAAAAACGTTTCGTTTATTTAACCTGGAGTTATGATAGATTTAATGTAGTCCCATCGTGTCTTTGACGTTTTTCGGGAGAGTTCTGTTATTAATAGTAAAATAGATTGTTTTGGTTCTCAGGACTTTTAGTAACCAGTTTAAACTTTTCACTCCGGACTCTCTTTACATTACTTAAACATTTACTTAAACAGTTATTGCTTTTTCTAAAGCTGTTGTTGAATAATTCTCGACTCTAGTAAGAGACATTAAGTTGTAATGTAGGTCGCAGTGCATCTCAAAAATACATACCATCGTGATAAGGTTCAATATTATCCATCAGTTTTGAAGAAAGTAAAAGATGTAGACTCATTACATGTAAAGTAAGATACTTGATTGATACTTTGATGATTATTGGGTATAGCTCATGAAAATCTGAAATTTAGTATCACAAAATACTAGAATATTTTGTCTGAGTAAATTCCTATTCAGACAGTGTAAGTACTGTGTATCGCTCAGTCTAGCTAAGTCCCAAAATCTTTTTTTTTCTTTTTTTTGATCTTAGAAAATATTGTCATTTGAGATACTGGATTGCTAGATTTCATGAGCTATATGACATAATCAGCAAAATTAAAACAAAAAGAGGATTGAAGTATTTCTCTTTATGTGCAATGAATATAGGATAAATAAAAGTTTGCCTTAGTGAATTAAATAGTTTTTTAAAAATTACCTTGTTAACATTGTTGTACTTTTTGAGATGCACTAGTATATGTGGTGGAGTATGTTCTGACTGAAAACATGAGCAGAGTCAGTGATCCTGATCTGCTTGAAGGTTTATTGTACACTTTAATAGGAACACAAACAAATCGAGCAGGTCTCAAAAGCAATTAAAATATGTCACAGAATGCATTAACTAGATATATTAGAATGTTTAATGTGTTACATGGGCCCATTATAATTCTCCTGTCATGTTCAGGAGCTGCAAGTCATGTTTCCACTGAAACTTCAGACAATCTCTGTTCAACCCACAAAACAATCTTGTCAAAGTTGTCTTGGACATTTCATACATGATCCTCCCTCATGTGATTATTTTTGACCTTCTTTTGTCATCATTATATTTAATTAATGTAACTATATATTTCCACATGCATAGTAAACATTTGTAAACACATGGTTCAAATGGTCTAAATGGTCGAACACTTGATGATATTTTTTTCCAACAAAACTCTTTTGTCTTTCTTTACATGAAAATGTACATGCACTTCAATATTTTTTTTCCTTAAAGATATTGGTGATTGTTTTTCTGTTGAAGTCAGGAAAGTAAAGTTGTCATGTAGTCGTCCATCCATCCATCATCTATACACGCTTAATCCTCACTAGGGTGAAGGCAGGGGGCATCCTGGACAGGTCACCAGTCTATCACAGGGCTACACTTAGAGACAGACAACCAAGCACACTCACATTCACACCTACGGACAATTTAGAATCACCAATTAACCTCAGCATGTTTTTGGACTTCACATCCCGGTGGGGGCACCAGAATCTTTCTGCGTGAAGTTTGCATGTTCTCCCCGTGCAGCGTGGGTTCTCTCCGGGTTCTCCGGCTTCCTCCCACACAGTCCAAAAACATGTTGAGGTTAATTGGTGATTCTAAATTGTCTGTAGGTGTGACTGTGAGTGTGCTTGGTTGTCTGTCTCTAAGTGTAGCCCTGTGATAGACTGGTTACCTGTCCAGGGTGTCCCCTGCCTTCACCCTAAGTCGGCTGGGATAGACTCCAGCCCCCCCGCGACCCTCGTGAGGATTAAGCGGTGTATAGATAATGGATGGATGGATGTTTTTGGACTGTGGAAGGAAGCCAGAGAACCCGTTGAGAACCCACGCTGCACGGGGAGAACATGGAGACTCCACGCAGAAAGCTCCCAGGCCCAGGCTGTCATGTGAACTGGGTATCTTCTAGTTGTGAGGTGACGACGCCAACTACCAAGCCACCTTGCAGCCCCTCACACAAAACATTTGAAATTAAACTATTTTACATACATTATTTTCACAGTATTTTAGCTAAACTTTATTTAATATCTGTAGTTAAAAAAAAAAAAAAAATCAAAGACATTTTTATTTAAATTTCGTATTTTTTGTTTAACCCTGCCTTCACCAAACCTGTTGGGTTTTCATGTGTAACTTTAATTTTAAATTAGTTAAGTTAATTTCCATAATTACTATAACTGTCCGGTTTGATATTTTTTATAGTCATTTAAAGTTGTATTTTCTTTTACTTTTGTAGGATTTTACCATTTAAATCACTCCGGTAATTCACACCATAAGTAACACAGTCGGTCATATCCTCAATGTTTAAACTGGTAGGTTAATTCATAAAGTCAATCTTATTTTTCTTTTGTCAAACAATTTCACTCAGCGATTGTAGCCTTAAATGTGCCGTGTAATTAACGAAGACCTGACTTCATCTGACTTAACATAAGGATGAAGAAACAGGTAACTATAGTTTATTCATCCATTATATAAATATAAGTGAAACTATTACTAATAAATATGATAAAAGGACACATTTATTCAAAATACAAACCAGGGTTTATGACAAGAACAGGTTAGAACAAGTTCTCCACCAGGCTGCAGTAGCTCTGTTATGGAGACACAGCACCATCTACTGACCTTCCCATCGTAGCTTCACAGGTGTCAAAGTGGTTGTGTTCTCCAAACACAAAGAGCTGGTCGTCCAACACCTAAATGCCAAAGTGGCTGTGGGGGTTTTCCAAACCTCAGAGAGACTGAGTGAAACATGAGCCCAGAGTTTCAGCAGCAGGAAGAACTGTCAATAGATGAACAATGTCATGAGACTCTTTTAGATTTTTGAACTTTATTTGTACCAAGTTGGTCCAATAGTGTTAATACATGGAACCATTTTGCAGTTGTACTTCTCTTCATTTTTGATGAGACAGTGGAACATTTATTGAAATGAAACCACATGAGAAGTTTATATATATAATTATTTTCTACATTGTATATTACATAAAAACTAACCACTTTTGCTTTGATGACAGCTTTTCACACTCTCGGCATTCTCTCAATCACATTCATGAGGTCGTCTCCTGGAATGGTTTTGAAGTCACAGGTGTGCCTTGTCAAGAGTCAATTTGTGGAATTATTTGCCTTCTCAATGTGTTGGAGACCATAACATTCTAACTGAGGCCTGTCACCATGCTAGTGCGTTCATGGCTATTGGTAGCTTTTATTTTATATCATATGGAATGCTGTTCCATTTAATATAAAATAAATCTGTGAAATAAATCCTGATATAGATACATTTGACAACAATAAACAAAGATCACCTGGAACAAATAAAAATAGTCCTGTATTTAGAAAAATCTAAAATATTTTTTATGCAATTATTGCCTTCATTTATATATTCATTTCCTCATTTATTTATTACAAAAGTATTTCAGGGGCATATTTATTTATTTTTCAAAGGAATATTTATTTATTTCAACAATGATTTAATATTGAATAACGTGACTGTAATATTTTGACTGTCTCCTTAGAATTATGTTAATCTCTATTTTCTCTCTCTAAGTTTTTTTTTTTAATTAATTAATTTTTTTAACAACTCTGGTTCTGTTAAGAGAATTTTTGGGGCTTTTTTATGTTTCTCTGTAAATTGAATCGATAATCCCTCACTACGGGACATTTCCATCGACTGGGGGCGGTAAAACGTCGCTGACGCCTCAGCGCGGTCGATAACCCAGAAGAAGAAGATGCTTTAAAGTCCGAGCCGCACCTGAACGCGGCTCAGTCTGTGAGTTCCAGAAAACCTTGAAGTTGCGGCAGCTCCGAAGAAGCACAGCGGGAAGACACAGCACGCTCACCGGCCCGTTTTCTGCCACATTCAGCCAAATTGCAACCAGAAGCACCACAGATAAGTGAAGGGAAGAGCCGTGAAAGATGCCGGCCACAGAGAAGGACCTGGCTGAGGACGCTCCGTGGAAGAAGATCCAGCAGAACACCTTCACCCGCTGGATCAACGAGCACCTGAAGTGCGTCAACAAGCGGATCGTGGACCTGCAGCTGGACCTGGGCGACGGCCTGAGGCTCATCGCCCTGCTGGAGGTCCTCAGCCACAAGAACATGTACAGAAAGTACCACCCGAGGCCCACCTTCAGGCAGATGAAGCTGGAGAACGTGTCGGTGGCTCTGGAGTTCCTTGAGAGGGAGAGCATAAAGCTGGTCTCCATCGGTGAGTAACGGCGGTCCATTCATCCGCTGCTCTGGAAGCTTCCCCCTCAAATGTCTGTCCCACCGATAAGTTTGTATATTCCAAGAGGTTCTACACGCAACAGACCCGTTGACACCACTAACATTGCTTCTCCCAGTCAAGTTTCTTCCCACTTTTCCCACTTTATTGCCCATGTTCTGTCGTGGAAAACCCGGACTCTCATTAACAAACCAGCGATTTAACGTCTTATTGCTTTGCCATGAGAGACGAAAAAGCCCACGTTACTTAAAGGAGTGCATTCTTAATCAATCAGACCCACTGTTCAATTCGGCATACATATAATTCACAAAGCAGCTTTTATTTACTAGAAAATCTCAGGTTTTTGAAGTGGTTCACGCCGTTGCTGCCGCCCACCTGGTTGCGTTCAGTTAGCTAGGTGAGAGCAAACCAGCGATGGGAAGCCGCAGCAAAATGGCTTTTAAAGTTGATACTTGGCTGAAATTAACGCAATTAAGTGCGTCACGTTGAAGCAGAGCGCTGTGAGTCTTTAAAACACACAGTTTTATTTTATAATGTCAACAGAAGTGC